TCCCGTAAAAAAGATCATTTGCGCGTATCAATGTCTCATTAACGAGTATCGTATATACATATACATATACACGCGTGTGCAATGTTTATCTATTCCGGCGGTCTTCCGTCAAAGAAGCGTCCTCGACGAGCATCTTTTTTTCGAGGGGAAGAATGATGTTTGCGATCGGAGAAAGTTCAAACTTCACAAGTTGAAGCATAAACGGTACGCATAGTGGAGCGCGAGGCAAATTGCGAGGTTGCCGATTATTCGAGATTCGGCGAACTTGAAACACTGCAGCTGGCGCTCGCGAGTCGCGATACGCGGATTCGGGATAAAAACGGACCTCTCTCTCTCTCTCTCTCTTTTTCTCCGGTTCCGCGTGTGTAAAAATAAAAATGCGAAGCGAGGGAAACTGAATGGAGATCGTATCGTATGTGGGTGTAAGGTTCCGTATCGACCCGCGTTCCCACGGATCAATGGGTAACACGGTTCAAAGAACATCCTCGATCCGATGGTTGATATACGGGTGCGTATATATCCCGGTCGATTTATCGCGTGGATTTCTCCGCGCGAGAATAAAAAAGAAAAATAAAGAAAGGAATAAAAATATTAGTAGAAAGTCGAGACACATTGTATCTTCGAGTTGGGGATACTCGAAGTAATGTGGTCAACGGTGTTTACGTTACTATTTTCGGTTGGGCAATTAGCGGATAATAAATCTGAATTATCCGTTAAAAGTTATATACGAGTAGCGATTGAATATTATTATTATTATTATTATTACAGTGAAATCAACCGAACAACAAATTATTGTAAAAGACAAACGGTGTGTGTATAAATGTTTGCTCGATCGTAAAACTTGAGATATACGAGTTTCCACTGCCGCATTGCAGGATTTATATATTTAATTCGAATGGAAATAACACGGTTGCGTCATTTGGAAAAATATATTATCAAAAATATCATCTATTCTCGTTTGCGAATTATCAAAATCTGGAAAAAAATCTCCAGCACATAAATTTTATATCTCGCTTATCGTCCATGCCTATCGTTTATCTCGAGATAAAAACCCCCCATTGCCCCTCGAAATTCTTGAGAGAATCGCGTCACATCGGTTGATACAAAAATGCGAAGCCATTGAGAGATATCCAGATCGTTATATTGGCGTAGCATCAACGGGGATTGCGAAACGTGTCATGGCCATCCTGTTGCATCCACGGTTTGGTGCTTTCACTAACGATCACGTGCTCGACTTGTGGCGTGGGTGGCGATTCACGCGCTCTAGAGAAAGTAAAAGCTATATATCCGAACACTCGTCGATACACATTTCCTCGTCGCAATTGCATTTTCTTTCGTTTTACGAGAGAAATCTCGATCGAAATTAAGGAGGATAATTAAGCGTGTAACGTTTAAACGAAAATGATTCGTTTCGTTAATTGTCTAACTGCGATTATATATAAAATTGTCAATTAAAAGCGAGAATAAAGGAATAGAGGAGATTGTCGAATTGCGTAACTCGTTCCACCGGATTATGCGATTTATACCGACTTCGGCTTCTTTTAACTGTTAAAATTTATTTATTATTTACGAATCGACGAGCCCCCCCCCTCGTCAATTGCTTATTCTCTCTCCGTGAGGTGAATTGAAAAAAATTGTAAGGCAGTTACAGTTGAATTTTGTAAAATTTCGTTTTCACGGATAATTCGCGATGGAAACGACGAAAGACAAATTGTGTGTATGACGCAATCCTTCAATTACGTTCGTTGTTGTAATTTCAACTCTGCATAAGCGCAATTATCGCTACTTTCTCTGCTCTCGCGGACACGAGTAACTGCAATTACTTTTTTTATTTTTTTTTTCGAAACGTGATCTTTCACGTAACCGCTTCGAATGAGTCATTAACTTTGTGTTCCAGTTATTCTTCGTCTGTCTTTTTTTCTTTTTCTCTTCTCTTCTCTTCATCGCTTTTCTTCTTTTCTTTCTCCTCATTCACTTACGTGAATGACAGCAGATTGATTCAAATGAAAACTATAATTTATCATCAAGCTTTATCAACACTTGCTCTATTGGAGAAAGATGTTGACTGAAATTGATTAATTAAATGAAACTTCAATCTTTTGAAAATGTCTGAACAGAATTATTTATTTTGTTTTAACCGTGTGATCTTTTACTCCAATTTTCGAAAATGAAACAAAAAAATTTGAAGATTTTTAGAAATGGAAATTACCATGTGCCGAGATTTAAAAAAAATCTAAAATAAATTCCCAAAATCTTAATTATACGTATTGTAACAAACGGGGGCGTTATCTTCGAACTGTCGTCGAACACTTTGAAAAAAAAAAAAGAGAATCGAGAAAAATTTTAAATCCGCTTATAAAGCAATAAAAAATACACGAGAGGGGATTTTTTTTTAAAATACTCACTCCTATGCTCGACTTGGGGAACCGTCAAGGACGCGAGGTGATCCGTGCGCTACCGCGAACCTGAATGCACTGTGGCGCCGGAGTGCCCCCTACTAGTCCGCTCCTAGCCTTCTTCCGTGTTTGTAAATCTGCGAACGAGAAAGTCGTACACACGCCGATTGTGGCACAATCCACGAGTTCTATCGTGGAGAAGTTCGAGTTAGCGGCTCGAAAGATCGAGGCGCTCGTTCTCGACCCCTTCGAGAGCCTCGACTTGGGTCAAACGTTTCGTTTCCGTGGAACGAAATCGGCAAGCGCGTTGGCCAGGAAATGCAGGCAAATGTATAAGTAAATGTGAACGAACTCGTGATGGGATGTAAATGTATGATACGATACGAAATGGATAAATAAAAAAATTAAAAACTGAGTGAAAATGCTGAGCTGAAAATATAACGCGTATATAATTTTGTATAATTTTGTAAATTGGTAAGAATAAATTGCGATGTAAATAAATAGAGGAAAAGATTTAATCGCATATTTAAATATTGTAATTACATCGAGCGATAGATACATTTTTTCTTTTATAAATAACAAGATTTTTCAGATCTATCATCCTTCAGGATCATTTTCTATGGATTTTCAAATTTCGAATTTTATTAATTTTACGTACGCAGAAGAATGTATGCTTTATATAGAAGAGAATAGAATCCAATGAAGTAATCTCTCTTGCACGATTCAAATTTAAAACACGTGGAAGAATCTCGTATTCCCTTTATAGGGGGAAAAAAAATTCTTATGAAATTTCAATATCGATCTTTGTTCGAGGAAATATATATAAAAAAAATATGTACACATCTCGAGTAAATCTATTTCTTTTTTGTTTGCCAATTATCAGAAAAAAATATTTAAATATCGAGTTAAGCAGAATACGAATGATGAAAAAAAAAAAAAAACTATCATTATCTCAATAATCTGATCAAATACTCGCTGTAATAACTCTTATTACGTAAACTTATTACGTAAAAGAAATTTTCTATTTACATCGATCGAAGTTTAAAAAAAATAAAATTAATTATACGAATATCAGATTATCCTTCTTCGCTCATTTTTTTGTTTCAAAGATTTTCTAAAGATTTTGCGACTGATCTCGCGCTCCAACCGCTGATCCAGTTTCAAGGGTTGCTTAATGGGTGGATAAGCTGCTCGTTGGAGCAGAGATTCCAAATCCGTTTGGTTAACGAAATCTATCTCGAGGAGAGATAGATTTCTGAGAAATGCGAAATCGATGTCGAGGACGTCGATTTTCCCAATATTACGAATGAAAATATTTTGAGGGGGGTGAAAAGTGCGAGAAAAAAAATTAGTTTCTCCAAAAGTAGTTTGGTGAGACAGATATGGGGAATGTGTTGGAAAAATTTTTTTTTTTTTT